AACACCGACGAAAAACTTGTAACAAAAAGAAACTTTTTCAAAGATTCTGCGTACGAGTTTACGGTCACGATAGCGTGCATCTTTTAGTGCAGCCGAGCTTTTGCACCAAAAAGTAGCATCACTAGGAACTCACGCGTTTTATCTTGCGAGATGGGCTGCAGTTGACTGTATGTGCTCCCAATGAATAAAATGTGATAAAAAACAGCAGAATTATTGATGGGCACGAGCGAGTCAGCAAAAGGGGATATGCAATTCCGATTAATTCCTCCCGCCCCCACAAGCAACAACAGACCGGACTGCTTGTACAAGGAAGGACGACCACGAATTACTTGAGCACGAGGGCTGTCTTTAAAGGTGTTTTGTGTGTTTTAGGTTCACCTTATGCAATGCAACGCTACCAATAAACAACAAGGTACACGCCCAAAAAATTTAGGACAAAATATAACAGAAAAAAGACCCAAGAAATGTAATATAAACGAACCTGTACAATCGAATATCGTCCGCTGTAGCTGGGAAACACCAGTAGACCACAGAAAGGAATAACTTGTCCGGCAACGAGTGAGACACAGGAAATTCACTTTTCTGTAGAAATACTGGCTAAGTATGCTGAGCTACAAAAATCGAAGCAAGGAAGAAGAGAAAAACCTGTTTTCCACTCTGACAAATATCACGGTAATTTCTTTCCAACTCCACAAACGACATCTGGCGAGCACATACCCGAGCAGCTAAGTCGGACAATGAGGCGACAGATTTTGGGGCTAAGAAGAATAATTTCAGAAAGATATCAAACAGTTCAAAAAGGAAGAAGTAAAAAGTTTTGCACAAGTGAAAGCGTAAACAAGAAAAACAAGAAATAGCAAGGTAAGCACCAGAGTGGCGAATAGTATGCAATCGCAGTTAGGGAGAGGGGGGGGGGCAGGCTACGGCGGTTACAGGGCACTTGTCAAACGGACGTGCTCTCGCTGCGAGGGTCCGGAGGTATTTTCTCATGGTATCTACTGGCCCAGCAGTGAAGGACAGAAAGCAAAGGAAGAGGGAAGATAGAAGGGAGGAAAAGAAGAAAGGAGGAAGAAAAAAAAGGATGAAGGGGAGAGGCACAAGTATCCTGAGACGACGCAACTTGTGGATCCCCAGCATGGTGCTTTGCATTCGCTGCTGGAGAGATAAGGACGTATATGCCTCGGAGAGAAATGTTTCGAGTTGTTTGAATTTTCTCGGCTTTTCTTGTTCCAAGTGCGCTTTATGATAAATTGCGTCTATTCCCCTTCCCTTAGCGAAAGCTCACGCTTACCTTAGCAGAACACGGAGGACGAGAGTCACAGCGTTCTAGTCTTGTAAAGCAGAAGTAGGCTCGCTGCCGCATAAACCCTCCCCCCCCCCCTTCCCTTGATAACGATTGCACCGAAAAACCGTGAACGCACCTTTTTCTGATGAAACACTTCTTTGAGTTACAGTATTCGATGCCGATGAATACCGGCCCGAATGTGAATAGCTGCACTGGTACGGATAAATACATGTGGATATGCCTGAAAAAGAGGCCTTTCGAAAAAAATCAAGATCAAAATAAATTTAAAGGTCAAATAACAAGGAAGTCAAAATGCACAAGGAACGAATGATAAACTTGCCTGATTGAATGGTATCGCCGGGTGAAGACTGGGACCATCCACGCCAATTCTTTGCGAGTGTGAGGCTTTCACTGGATACCCACGAGCATTCAGAGTCACCTTCGAAGCGATCCGAATCCTGGAAATCGTCGATAAAAGGACAGAATTGATTTATGCCATTTCAAGACAGGGCTTTCCATAACAGACATGAAGCTCTTCAAATGGAGCCGGCCATTTTTTAAACCATCAAGACACTTTTCAAATCAGGTTGGACGATTTTCAAATCAATTTGGACGCACTGTTCCTTTTGTTCGTCCATACACTTAACAAATTTGATTTGAATAAGACGATTCGGTTTGAAAAACGTTCAATTTGATTTGAGACGTGTTCGGGTTGACTTAAAAGTCGTCCTGGATTGAAAAGCAAGTACTCAAGTATTCTACAACTGACAAAACAGCAAAAAATATATGATGATCAATGGCTATAAAACAATGAAAAGAAACAAATGTTATGGATAATAGACCACCCGCTAGAAGAATAGCATGGTCTTCTAAGCTGATGAATTTTGTGGTTGATTGCTTACCGGGAGGTAAATGAGGAAGGAAGCACGCATCGCGCCGCTGCTTTGAGAAGTCTCATTTGAGAGGAAAACGAAGATGGACAGGAGGTGGACTTCCCTCCAAGTACTCTTTTCAAGCCACAAGTCATTTTCGGATACATGCGTATTCAGTGATGATCTGTTTGGCAGAATACTGAAAAATTGGGATCAGAGAGGCTATCAGAATAATCTTACAGATCTATTGATTTCCTTGGCAAAAAACATCTTTCGTTTGGGAACGATCACTGGTTTTAATTGAATTTTATGCAAAAAGCTTTCAGAAAGGTTTCTTTTCGAAAAGAACATCAAAGGCTGTGCCCTCTGCCCTCGTTTTTGTATGCGAAACGCATCTGGGAAAGCTATCAGAGTTCTGAATGCCAATCACAATCCTATCCTCCAGTCCCGCTCTATTGTAAATGCTTCAGACGGTTCAACGAAACTGACGTGGAGTAAGACGCCTGGGCGCTGTACGGTTTAGAGGGGGCATGTTGAACTCTAACAAGTTTGTCTAGCTAGTACATGGTGACTAAGTCAACACGTGTCAACTCATAGAAAACTGCGGAGTCGTAAATGCGAGCTACTTTAGTTACAGGAATTTGCACGTCTTCAGCTGGCTTGTATGGGCCTCGCTGGATGCCGCTCTTGGTGCCCCCACCGAGCCGAACTGCACCGCAGGCATGTGCGATCAGTGCATATCAACTCTTTTGAGATCATAAGCGGGGGGGGGAAGCTGTGTCTAGATTGCTGAGGCGATTCGCACTAGTTCTGCCAAGAGAGGTCTTTAAATGAACCTCTCTTGCGGGGAAATGTGGGCACTTCATAGCCCTTGGGATTCCCCTCCGGTTCACGAACTTTTTTTGAGAAATCCTGGGTCAGAAAGGGCGGGGAAAAAACTTTATGTTGAGGAGCTGCCGTATTGGAAGGCAACAATAGACGAGCTCCCCTGACTGAGCATAACAAAAAACAAATTTTCCAAGTAGAAAAAAAATTATAAAAACAGTGCCTCATTCGCAAAAACCATACCTCAAACGAGTCAGGTGCTGGAGGAAGCATGCCAGCTTCACGAGCCGCTGCCTGAACTAACCAGTCATCCTCGCCGGACATCCCATTCAGTTTATACCCGGAGAATCTGAAACAATAAGAATTATGTTTTTTTTTACAGTAAGAAAGAGTCTAATGAAGCCCGAATAAAGCGCAGAAAGATAAATAACTAATTTTAGCGAGTACTCTTCCACGTTGAAAGTACATAACAAGAAAAAAGGTGAGGACATAAATAGCCCATGCTCATTATATACATTAGTGACGCAATGTAACACACGGCAAAAAGGAATGGGACTGATGTCTCATCAATAAGAGATACAAGTGGGGGAGGGCCTACTTTCATGACTGTAAAACAGTACTGTTCGCTGAGGACGGTGGAGATCAGAGGGACTAGGTCTGGCGCAACGCCAACCCCTTCTTCACTAACAGTGGAAGCCACGAGGGGCCAGGGATGGTGTCGAACGAGCTGGTTTTGCAGGGCTGAAATACGACCCCTTCTTGATTGGCAAAACGCGGCGTGGCACATTGGGAGTTGATAGGCCTGGGCGTGCGGATTTGACCGCATTGGTCCCGACCGCGCACGTGCCGCTCGCCACCACACCGCTTCCGCTACATTAACACTTTATTAAAAGGAACAAAGGCTTTGCAATAATAGAACATTCATTTCGTTGAGATATTCACTGGCATTGGTTTTATTGCCTGGGAAGAAAAGGAATGGAATTCCCACTGAGAGAGGACAAAATTTGGTTTTTTGGAGGGCAGAGAGCGCGGTCATACACAATAATTATCAAGTCTCAAATCGTGAGTGTTTGGTAAAGTAGTGTGGTTCCACTTCTTCCCTATGGCGCCTGCCCTTGCTGTGGGAGATCGAATTTCGGATACAAAATTCGGGGGTTACGCAGAAGGAATTCAATAAGGAAGTAGAGTGTTCTGACCAGGCAAACACCACGCTGAGGAACCCTCAACAGAAGATGAGTAAGAAGCGTTCACTTTATCATTATGAGTGGGCATGTGACTGCCATCATCCTGACCACTCGTAATGTTTACTACTCTTTGGCTGTAGTACATGTTGAGTACGCATAAAAAAATTAAGTAAAACGTTTCGCAACGCTACGACGTCTCCTGCTCTGATACCGACGCCCTGACCCTGCTCTTATACTTCCTGCTTCTAAAATGCAGTACCACTCGTATTCTTCCGTATCCGTATTTTTCTTCGGTTGGAGACAAGCGGCTTGAGTAAGCAACGTCGAGGACAGTCCACCGATCACAGGAATCTTCGCAAGTGCCAGACACTCCCCTGAAGGTCTGCACAAACCAACCATCGACGAAGACACGAATTTGGACTTTGGATAAGCCACAGAAGTCCAAAAATCCAAAGAAAAAACAAACTTCTCCCGAAATCATAACACATGCAGGACCGGTTCGTTATATAGGTCATCATGACATTGCTAGTGTTTCATGAATGGTTATGTTGTTGGTGTTCTATGAATTTTTTAAAATCAGTGAACGAGTTAAATAGATATTTAACGAAATTTTTTCTGAAGGAGTAGGGTTCAAAGAAGTTTAGCCTCTATTCCGTAACTAAACCTAGACTGCTTTCAGACCTCCCGCCTTAAGCGATCTCGTCGAGCGACTACGACAGACCCCGCTCCAACGCCAATCGTTGAACAGCTGCAAACGATCAAACTAACGCCCAGAATATGGTCGAGTAGCACTTTTAGCGGTCTAACTATTAGCTGTGTAGCGCGATCGGTCACATTCGTGCGATTCCCAAGTCGCTCGAGTGGCGAAGTGTGAACGCTGCTTTGCCGTTGCCTATAGAAGGGCGAGCTTTCACTAAAGTGCTCAACTCAACAGCATCCTGATGCCCCATTTCATTTTTTCAGCCCCCATTTACATCAGGTTACGCTGAAAGCCTCCTCTATACATCCTTCGGCACTGTCCTTTTCCGCGTCTCTTCATCCATCCACTAAAAGGCCAGGCGCCAAAAAGGGTGCTGGGCACATTTACCGTTTATGAATGGCTCCGTGTCGATCTCCAGGGAAACGATACTATTTCTAGAGCTTTTCTATTACTCCAAGAGAATGTAAAGGAATTCATAGAATAGCCAGAAAATAAACTATAGAAATAAACAGTAGTGGAAGCGGAAAATATAAACTGCAGTCGAACAATTGAGGTAGGGAAAGCAATGTTTTTCAAGCAATGTTTCTCTATGTGTCGGTGACAGACGGTCTGCAATTTCACACTTGTGCCATAAGGTTCTGCAATTTCGGAGGTGCGTGGTCCAGGCTCGGTGAGTCGCCTAGCACTTTCCAACTTTTTCACAAACGTTTAGTGGCACAACCATTGCCGGCTCCTTAGGCGCTCATTGCGGAATGGCCACACCCCCCCCCCCTATTCCATCAGACAGGGCACGTCGAAGTTGGGGTCCTAGCGGGGGGGTCGTATTTGGACGCTGGAGGAAGTTGGAAAATGAGAAAATTCAGGAACAGTGGGAAGCAGGAGACAGATGGGGGAGGAGAAGGGTCGTAACCAGCAGGAATTTTCAAGGGGGAGGGTAGCATTTTGCAAATTTTCCCCCAGCGACAACGCGCCAATCCCTCAGAGGCCCACTACCCCTCTGAACCTCATCATAATCTGACTCAAGTAGCATTGGTTCAATGCGTCATATCAGTTTTCAATGGCTCTGATATGGAAAAGGAAGGAAGAGAGGGAGAGCTCGTTTTGCAAGACTTACGTTCTCATCACGAATTTGCATGCAAATGTGAATTATTCTCTGGTCGTGTGAACTGCATGATTTGCAAGAACAGCAATGATTGACCAAACAACCTATTATAACTGAACGGATTGTGCCATACGAGAAACCAAACTACTGTCCCAGATGGGTTCGGAAGGTGATCTTTGGCCTGAAGGTGACCGCAAACTCAAAAGCAGCTTGCAATTACACCCTATGTCTCTGGCAGTTTCACTAAATGATTTCTCCGCACTTGCTCGTTTCATGCCAGCAAAGCGATACCCTGCCGCCTTGACTAACTAATCGTTTCTTCGCGTCATCCAATGCCGGCACCTTCTACCAGTGAAGATAAACGAAAAAAAAACGTGTAAAAACTGAATTTAAGACAGAAAATAGCCCTCAATCTTGTTGGGCGGGGCGATGAGGGAGGCGTCAGAACTGCCACTTATGAGGGCGCAGAGCCTTCTTTATTCGATGTGAAGCCGCCAGAACGGGATAATTTTAGAAACTGAGGGCAAGACTACTTGTACAAGGACGCCTACGAACTGCTTCAGCGCAGAAATGTTTTCAAGACAGAGCTTCTAGTTCTCCCGCCCACTCAAGCGCTGTTTTCGCAACGACTTCAGTTTTGGCGGTATCTTTCGTTTTTTTTCCATTGTTAAAGCATTGGATGACGCGAAAACGATTGGCGAGTCAGAAGCGGTAGGCTATCTCACTGCTAGCACAATACAAGGAGGTCCGGAGAACTCGTCCGGAGAGGCAGCTAGTTCTTCAAAGACAGCTCCCGCGATAAAAGTGTCATGGATAGTTTGCTTTTCCAATTAGGAACCAGGTAGCTGAACACCAGTCGCCATACCACAGAGAAGAAAAAAAAGTAAGCAAGAGTCGCAATCAGAAAAAACTACATAAAAAAAATCGACTTAACCTGGCTACGAAACCCATACAAACACCCCACACCCCACCTATCTCGCAGTCTCTGTAACGAAACCCTGGTACCATACCTTCCTTCACATCCCCACCCCCACCAGTCAGTGCGATCATTTCCACATCCGCACCGAGCAAAAATATACCCCAAAAAACCATCAAACGGAACGAACAAATATTTAGAAAAGAGGAAAGAAACTATCAAATCACGTCGGCAATCCAGTACACTCCTAGGGTATACGGTCACGCAGCTGCGCTTCTTCGGTGTTGATATGCGTCCGAGCTTTTGCACACGAAAATATTTGTCAGGACTCGTCGATTTTTCTACCCGCGTTCTACGCCCCCTAGCAAGAAGACTGGCGCTTGGGCTCTGGCTGTTGTGGCCCTAGACTCACGAACTCCAAACATCGCACACCCATAAAATGAAGGCAGAACTCTCATTCAATCCAAGGCACAAGCACACGCCGCCCCGAGCTCGACAGCACACGCGTCTCCGACTATACAGCGAATCCGCGCCACCGCCATCTGCGCTCGCACTTAGCGAGAACAAGCCAATCAAGACCCTGAAATAGAGGAATCCAATCGCTTGGAGCTCGCATACGCAAAACAGAGCCTCACTGACAAAAAGGGAACCATGCGCAGAAACTACGAAAGTAACAACCTAGCCAGAATCACCCACACACAGTCGCCGCAAAACCAATAGTCGAACAAGCAAACTGTTGCAATAATCACTAACACACCGCAGGCAACGAAGTGAAATCAGGTTTCAAGGACATACTGTAAGCGACTAGCTGGCGCAACCGTACCCACAGGATCAGTTTGCTTAAACAAGACACATTACCACATGCAGACGACTATGAGAGGAGCGGTACCTCCCCCCTCTTGCTTTTCGGCACCTGTGCGGAAAGCAAAGAGGATTTTTGCTATTTTATATCAGCATACGACGGCGGAAATCCCATACCATCCCCCCACCCATTTTAGAGACAAAAAAAACACTCGGTACCCCTCAAGCGGGAACTCCCATCGCGCGTTCACTTTTAATCGTGATTCCTTAGATGACCCTTTATCCCCACAGCCGATTTTTTCCGCCACCCTTATTTTCCGCCTACTTCGAAGCGTAGATGGGCAATACTCGCCCCTCACTGTCAGCAGGATCAACTCGCCACAATAGCCCCCAAGAGACGGACAAACTCCGTCCCGAAAGGCCGACAAACCTCGTCGGATGCGCTTTTTTCCGCGGAACAGCGGTCTTATCAGGTACGACAAGACGGAATCGACCCTCGCTCCCACCAGTCAGACGCGATACAACCTCCGTCCAGCTGCATCCACACACCCCCACACCAGCACCCCCCCACCCACACCACACCCACCCCACCACCCACCCACCCACCCACCACAAAACCCCACCCACACACCAACCGCACACAGACACACAACACACACCCCCGAAGAGACAGGAAAAACCATCGTCCGCACAAGGCGGACAACCTCACGTCACGCGGCTTCTTTTACGACGGAAACGGGTCTTTAGGCTACCGGGGAATCCCACTCAGCATCCATCGTAGACGCGCATAAACATCTTCACCTTTGCCGCCAAGAGAACGGCAAAACTGCGACCCAAAAGTGTGGAATCGTTGGCCCAATACCAGATATGACGGAAACATCTTCAATGCAAGATCGGCTCCCAAGGTACGTTGAAACGACCAAGAAAGCCGCAATAAAGGAAAACCGCCACCAACGCCCGTACGAGTGAAAGCTCGCCCACATCACACGCAATCTGAATTCTTCGGAAAATTTACGCACATTTTTCCCCGCCTCTCATATTCTAATTCCAGAAATGTGGGAAAAACTCCGGCCCTATTGCAAAAGCTACAGGCTAAGCTAGGAGCAAATTAATTGAAGCCTAAGCTAAGGCAAAAGTGTGTCATTAGGTCCGCTTGTGGGAAACTCCGCCCACTTTTTTTAAACTGCCCAGTCATCTAAGGGCATCACAGATCTCTCAATCTCGTGCATCTAAACACCGCTCCGGCTTATACCCCCCCGTCCTAAAAGTAGACGGGACGTACAACCAAAATCCAGCCACTATTTCTAGCATTCTAGGGATTTGCTCGTTTTAGTAATAAACCAGACAAATCGCTCCACCAACTAAGAACGGCCATGCACCACCAACCACCAAATCGAGAAAGAGCTTTCAATCTGTCAATCCTTACGGTGTCCGGGCCGGGTGAGTTTTCCCGTGTTGAGTCAAATTAAGCCGCAGGCTCCACTCCTGGTGGTGCCATTCCGTCAATTTCTTAAAGTTTCAGACCTGGCAACCATCAATAGACACATCAATAGACATAACCCCCCTTGCAGAAAATATGGGAGTAGAAAAAAACAAAAATGAAAACAAAAACTTCGATTTCAAAGAAAGCGGAATATGCCGCAATGCGCAGGACACGCCGAAATGCACAAATTCCGCTGCGGAGAAAAGCGATCGATACCTACGTATGCGTCCTCACCGATCAATACCCCCCATGCACATCCTTGACTACCCACATCCACATCCTTAACCATCACTCTCCTCATAAATCAACAGTCTGCATATTTCCGGATTTGTATTCTGCTATTACGCACTTCTGCACCGCTCAAGCGGTCGTACGACTCAAGCGATTGGATCGCCTTTATGAGTCGGCCGATTCGGTGCGTTCGACTCAACGCGACGCAGAACCGCTCCATCGCGAGAGGTCTGAAGCGCGGGTCTCGGCAAAAAGGGACATGCAATTCCGATTAATGCCCGCCGCCCCAACAAAGAACAACTGAGCGGCTCTCCGTCAGAGGGCATCTAGCAAGTGGGCGGTCCAACTGGGCGGGCGTTAGAACTAGAACTTTCAGCGGCTGTAGCTCGCTCCTCGCTCGCTGTGGAGTCGCGAGAGTGGGACAGCCTCTAGCTTGGGGGCTGGAAGCAGCACAAGGAAAGGACGACCATGTACTACTCGAGCGCGGGGGCTGCCATTAATTAGGGGGTTCCCCATGATCTTGACTGTAAGTTTGTAACTGAACCTTACTATTCACAATGTACAATCGTGGAGTTCGCATTTGAAGGAAGGCGGTATTCTGCAATTTTGCTAACTCCTTCAGTTAGTTCCGGTGAAATTACACGCATCAGCTTGGTGAAACCTGTAAACTCTTGTCAAGTGTGAGCGAAGCGCTTGCTGTGGCACAGCTTTACGAGAATTCACAGGTTCCCACAGTGTGGATCAACAGTGATCGATGAGAACCAGCAAAATGCCCCTATCAAGCCGAACTGTGTATAAATAACTATGGACAAGTTGACCTAAAAGCATCAAAAAATTGAAAATTACCGATCGATTTCCAGTTAAACAAGTTTTTCTCATGGTCAGGACGCTCCGAACAAACTGAACTTTGGTCTTAACGAAACCGAATAACCTGTTATTAATTGCAGAACCGATACTGTTGAACGCGAACGTTGCAAACGCTCTTTTTCGAGATAAGAATTTCGTTGGAATGAAAGCTTTCACAGTGTTCCCTTACACACACATCAAAGACCCACATTTTGAAATTAATTATCGAATATGATCCAGAAATATAAGGAAAGGCCTGCTTGCTTTCGCAAAACCTCCCCATAACCCAAATCAGAGTGCGGCAGGCTTAATGAGCCATACCGCTTTCGTCATGTGAAATGCGGCGGCGAAGGAAATGTCAGAAATTGTGGCGTAGGATTATGATTATGATTTTATTATGGTTAGTAAATTCAAAAAAACACAGGCCGCCCGCGCCGCGCCGCGCGGGCCGCCTGGCCATATTATTTGAAAACATTAACCGATTAAGGCGGCAGCATGCAATTAATGAAGAACAGCATGTATGCGCGGGAGGAATATCAGAAATTGTGGCGTAGGATACTCTCCACCCCAGTGTGTGATCCCCGCCCACTTCACATCCACAATCCACTTCAATTAGACAAAATGACAACGATCAGCAGGAACCCATCAGAACACGCCCTCTCTCGGGTTAATGTCGTCATTAACATTCGGGTGAGAAGCCTTCTACAACAAACGACCATTACTAGGTCTTATTTGAAGCAAGTTTCGAAATTTTTTTTTTTTCTTGCGATGAGCCTCGTGGCATAAGCTGATTCAATTAAGCACCGTTACCCTCATTTTGCCATCGTATACTGCAGCTCTGAGGTTTGAAAGAGACGAGTTGCTGATAAACCGCTACGAGCTCTTATTCAGGATAAAATTCTAAGAAAGGGGTGGGGGGAAAAGCCCCCAGCGGGAGCCCTCGCTTGAACACTCGCCCTTTTCTTAGAACCCACTACTTTTTGATCCAGCTCCGGTCACCTACTTCCTTCTATTCAGTTTCAGTTCAAATAAGGTTATCGAGCTTTTTCGACCCGACCCATTTCAAACCAGAACAAATCCTTCTCACTCTCTTCTCATTCCCAGGGCAATCTCAGCGGTTATCCTTCGCTTTCATCTCTCAAGAGGGTCGCTCGATAAAATGAAATCGCTTGTCCACATGATGACACGGAAATTGAGATCACTTATTTCTAACAAAACTAGGATAGAAATGTGAATGTCGCGTGTCTTTCAAAGATGAAAGCTCAGCCAGGGCTCCTTATTCATATTTACCTATGGGCTTCTAGACTATTTACTTATTCATTAATGATTTGAAAGACATGCCGAGCGCCAGAAAGAAAGTACGCTGAATATTAAATCACTGGAGAAAAAAACGAAACCTAAATAAATTGTGAAACTAAGGGTGTCGAATGGGCAAACCAAGGAAATTCAAATGAATACATAGGTCCAACGATACGGAACCAACGACCGGTCATGACAAGAACGTCCCAAAACTACCAGATGAAAGAGAGAGAAAAGGCACTGATGTTGGAAGGGCACTAGGCCACAACGACCCTGGTCATCCGCGCTCTCTGCGGATGACTAGGGTCTGAGAAAGATGGCACGCAACCGAATTTGCCGTGGTCCCTGCTCTCGAGGCATCTCCAACTGTGTAGGCGGCAGAAAGAATAGTAACCTTAGGCACTGTTCACAGATTGCGACCCGGCGATTGGGAGAAAAGCAATAGATAGTCATCGATCGAAGGATCGCCAACCG